AACAGAACAGAGTCCTCAGAAATAATACCACACATCTACAGCCAACTGATCTTTGACAAACCTGAGAGAAACAAGAAATGGGGAAAGGATTCCCTATTTAATAAATGGTGCTGGGAAAATTGGCTAGCCATAAGTAGAAAGCTGAAACTGGATCCTTTCCTTACTCCTTATACGAAAATTAATTCAAGATGGATTAGAGACTTAAATGTTAGACCTAATACCATAAAAATCCTAGAGGAAAACCTAGGTAGTACCATTCAGGACATAGGCATGGGCAAAGACTTCATGTCTAAAACACCAAAAGCAACGGCAGCAAAAGCCAAAATTGACAAATGGGATCTCATTAAACTAAAGAGCTTCTGCACAGCAAAAGAAACTACCATCAGAGTGAACAGACAACCTACAGAATGGGAGAAAATTTTTGCAATCTACTCATCTGACAAAGGGCTAATATCCAGAACCTACAAAGAACTCAAACAAATTTACAAGAAAAAAACAAACAACCCCATCAAAAAGTGGGCAAAGGATATGAACAGACATTTCTCAAAAGAAGACATTCATACAGCCAACAGACACATGAAAAAATGCTCATCATCACTGGCCATCAGAGAAATGCAAATCAAAACCACAATGAGATACCATCTCACACCAGTTAGAATGGTGTTCATTAAAAAGTCAGGAAACAACAGGTGCTGGAGAGGATGTGGAGAAATAGGAACACTTTTACACTGTTGGTGGGATTGTAAACTAGTTCAACCATTATGGAAAACAGTATGGCAATTCCTCAAGGATCTAGAACTAGATGTACCATATGACCCAGCCATCCCATTACTGGGTATATACCCAAAGGATTATAAATTATGCTGCTATAAAGACATGCACACGTATGTTTATTGCAGCACTATTCACAATAGCAAAGACTTGGAATCAACCCAAATGTCCATCAGTGACAGATTGGATTAAGAAAATGTGGCACATATACACCATGGAATACTATGCAGCCATCAAAAAGGATGAGTTTGTGTCCTTTGTGGGGACATGGATGCAGCTGGAAACCATCATTCTTAGCAAACTATCACAGGAGCAGAAAACCAAACACCGCATGTTCTCACTCATAGGTGGGAACCGAACAATGAGATCACTTGGACTCAGGAAGGGGAACATCACACACCAGGGCCTATCATGGGGAGCAGGGAGGGGGGAGGGGGGAGGGGGGAGGGATTGCATTGGGAGTTATACCTGATGTAAATGACGAGTTGATGGGTGCAGCATACCAACATGGCACAAGTATACATATGTAACAAACCTGCACGTTATGCACATGTACCCTACAACTTAAAGTATAATAATAATAAATAAATTTTAAAAAATAAAATAAATAAAATAAAATAAAAGTAGCAAAAAAAAAAAAATACAAAAATTAGCCAGGCACAGTGGCGGGCACCTGTAATCCCAGCTACTGGGGAGGCTGAGGCAGGAAAATCACTTGAACCCGGGAGGCGGAGGTTGCAGTGAGCCAAGATTGTGCCATTGTACTCCAGCCTGGGTGACAGAGCGAGACTCCGTCTCAAAAAATAAATAAATATAAAATAATAACAATTTATTTGCCTATAAAAGAGGAATTTAACATGGATAATCTCCAAGGTCTCATCCCACTTGAAAATGTTTATGCTTCTATGAACTGTACAGGCTATGTGGTGACTGCATACTATTCTCTTTTTTTCAATCTCCAATGCCTGGCAGAGGACCTGGCACAAAGTAGATGCTCATTGTATGGCTCCTGAAATGAACTGAATTCAAAGGGACCTCCAAATCATGTAGCTCAGAGACATAAAGAGCACGGATGCAGCTGGAAACCATCATTCTCAGCAAACTATCGCAAGAACAGAAAACCAAACACCGCATGTTCTCACTCATAGGTGGGAACTGAACAATGAGATCACTTGGACTTGGGAAGGGGAACATCACACACCGGGGCCTATCATGGGGAGGGGGGAGGGGGAGGGGTTGCATTGGGAGTTATACCTGATGTAAATGACGAGTTGATGGGTGCTGACGAGTTGATGGGTGCAGCACGCCAACATGGCACAAGTATACACATGTAACAAACCTGCACGTCGTGCACATGTACCCTAGAACTTAAAGTATAATAATAAAAAATAAATAAATAAATAAATTTTAAAAAAATTAAAAAAAAAAAAGAGCACAACACATGGCCTCACCACCTCCTTTCTAGTGTCTGTGTTATGCCACTCTTTCTGTCTCACATCATAGGCAGGCTCAAAATCCTTCTCAACAGAATTTCTGTAGCCTGGTGATGAGATTAGGGATCTAAGAATTAAAACTCATTTGCCATCTCTATGGCTCAATCTGCTTATTTTACAGGAGACGACACTGGGACCTAGAGAGTTTATACTTATCTAAGATGGCACAGCCGACTAGTATTAAGGCCAGTTACAGAAGTCAAGTCTCATCACTTCCAGATGAGCATTCTTTCTACTTTAGACTCTCTACTTTCATTTTAACACGATTCTGTCTCTTGGTTTCTTTAAAATATTTTCCTTTAATAATAGTGGATAACTCAGGGGTATGGGGAATGGGGAGATGGCGGTAAGATCTAGATGGATGGAAAAATGGGTGGATGTGAGATTTCACCGTAAATATTTCAACCATGTGAATACATTCCGTATTTAATTTTTCAAGTAAATTGGTTTTAAAGATGTTGTTTAATACGCTCTTTTAAAAAATCAGAAGTTCAGAGCGTCTCCATAATTGATGTTTTAGAAAGTTTCCTTTTTGTTTTCCCTACTGAATTTCTACAAAGGATCTACTTTGATGGATTTACTTGATTTATCTTTGTAACTTCAATTGTCTTCTGATGCAAAACAGAGCTCAAGGAAAATGTTTCACTGTGTCTCTTCCTGAGGTATGTGGTTGGGGAGCTCACATTTTCTTCTTTGTCATCTAGATCTGTTACTCAAAATGTGGTCTGCAGGACGGTGGCACCTGCATTAACTGGGTCCTTATTAGAAGTGCTGGGCTGGCACGGTGGTTCACACCTGTAATCCCAGCACTTTTCAAGGCTGAGGTGGGGGGATCATTTGAGGTCAGGAGTTCGAGACCAGCCTGGGCAACATGATGAAAATCCCATCTCTACTAAAAATACAAAAATTAGCCGTGCATGGTGTCGCCTGCCTGTAATCCCAGCTACTCGTGAGGCTGAGGTAGGAGAATTGCTTGAACCTGGGAGGCAGAGGTTGCAGTGAGCCGAGATCGCGCCATTGCACTCCAGCAACAGAGCGAGACTCCATCTCAAAAAAAAAAAAAAAAAAATAGATGTGCCAAATCTCAAGCCCCATCTTAGACCTGCAGAATTCAAATCTGCACCTTAACAAGACCCCCTAGGTAATTTAAATGCACATTAAGGCTTCAGAAGTACTGGCCTAGATAACAAGGCAGTTGACATTTTGGCCAAAGTTAGTGTCCTGAGGTGGCAAGCTGGAAAGATGCGGTGAAAAAATCATCCCTGTTATTAGATATGACAAATTTAGGCCTAATATACAAGCTTCTATTGAAAAGGGAGTCATGGTTGGCTGCCAAGCAACCATAGTTGAGCTTGAACCCCTGCTTATTTTATTGGGTCTGTATCAGATCAATAGTGAAGATGATGATAATGAGGGTAATAATTATGATAACAATATTTACCATGTGTTATGTGTTATGTACTATGCTAAAAGCTTTACAAATATTACTTTAATGTTCACAATAACCCTATTCCAATTTATAGATTAGATAAATAATTAGCAGCTCTTCCTTTCCAACTTGCTTTTCTCTACTCCAGAGGCTGAAAGCTAAAAACTACATTTCCCAAACTCCCTTGCAGCTAGAGTACAGGCATCCCACTCAGCTGCGTCTACTCCAGACTTGGATGCAGAAGTGAACAACATGCAGTAGAAGCCGTCTTCAGAGAGATTGGATCTTCTGCTATATATGCAGGTAGAGAAATCTATTTCAGCTGTGGTGGCTGTAATGGAGTATCTGACATCTAGTTTCAAGGGCCTTAGGCACCAGGCTGTGTCAGTGGTGTTCTGGCTACAGAAGAACCACAGTGTCATTGGGCAGTTTTTCTGCCTGTGTTGTCCCTGGCTATGTGGTGTCCAAGAATTATTCACTGCACTTCCTTTCCCAAAAGATTCTGGGAGCAGCTTAATGTCTCTTAATACATTATTCTCCATGTATCTACCTAGAGTGGACTCCCGTTTGCAAGTAAGATCCTGGCTGATACAGTAATTGAGACCAGTTAAGTCACTAAAAGCTAAAAAATGGTGGCGCTAAGTTAGACATGTCAGTACTATTTTCCAGAGCTGGTGACATTTGGGATATTGTAAAGTAGACATATGGTTAATATTTCCTAGAATGACAGTGATGGAGATGAAACGAGTGGCTTTATCTGAAAGGAACCATTAATTTTTAAGATAAGTTTTGCCATGAAATTTGGAAATGTTCTATACCTAAAAACACATGTATCCCTATGGCCAAACTCAAAGAACCAAAACAAGTATCTAGCCCAGTCATAAAGTAAGGCACGGAATGACGAAAAAGAGAAGGGAAAAAGTAAGATGTTTTGAATGCCCAGTTTATACAGGAACTGAATTAGGGCCTTCTCTAAACATGAACAAAGAGATTCTAAAATAAGAATTATACAACTTACAATGGTTGGCAAACAATGGTGGCTGGTGCTCAGGCGGATCAAGGGTGGTAAGAATTTTGGTTAAAATGGATTTATTTGAAAGGAGATTAATCTCACTCCATGCAAATACACTATAAATGCTAATAAGCACTAATGATGTATTATAAAGTTTCTGGAAAAAAAAATAGATGTTACATGAGCAAGTAATGTAGTTGGATAATCTCACTTGCTTATTCTTTCCCCAAAGGCATGAATGACCAAGTTGGAACCACACAAAGAACTTATCCTCCATTCCTTGTTTCTTGCTTACCATGATTGTCCACTTTCTGTTTTCTGCCTCTGGGAACACTAGTGATCGTGGAGAATAAAAGACTTCATCGTCCACTTCTTCTGGCTTTCTGGGCAAGCAGTGTAAAAATGTCCAGTCAGAGGCAGCAACTTTAGCAGTCTAAAGAGATGGGGATAAGACCATATTTTGACTATTATATGTGGCAGTCATATTTGTTTTCTTCGGTATTTAAAAACACACATGGCCTGCAGTCAGAGATCAATGCAAAGGGAGAGACAAGGAGCAGAGCGGTGGTTTTATCTCAAGATACTCAGGAGAAATATACGTGGTACTTTCATTTATTATTATTTTTTTTTTTTTTTGAGACAGATTCTCGCTCTGTCGCTCAGACTGGAGTGCAGTGGTGCGATCTCGGCTCACTGCAACCTCCGCCTCCAGAGCTCAAGCAATTCTCCTGCCTCAGCTTCCTGAGTAGCTGGGACTACAGGCATGCGCCACCATGCCCAGTTAATTTTTGTATTTTTAGTAGAGACAGGGTTTCACCATATTGGCCAGGCTGGTTTCGGACTCCTGACCTCAAATGATCCGCCTGCCTTGGCCTCTCAAAGTGCTGGGGTTACAGGCATGAGCCACCGTGCCCAGCAAGTCTTTTTTTTTGTTTTAATTTAACAGAGCATCACTTCAAGTTACACCAGTAACTCAGTTTTCTGGTATTCTGTCTAGTGGAACAGTGGACATTTCAGTAAATAACTCTACTAATGTAATATGTGGCTGATAGTAAAAGTCACCAATTATAGTCCACTATATTTAAAAAGTTGCTTTGGTGTGATAATATTATATTTGGAGCTTATCTCCAAATTATTATTTTTAGCACTTGAAGCATACTTCATCACTAGTTAAAACAATTTGGATCAAAGTACTGAGGTAGGGGTGAATTAAACAGGATTATAAGCACTATGCATTCGATTTTTCATTCTTAATGCAAATGTACTAGCAGTTTTAATTTTCTCCAACAGTTAATTCCTGAAAGTTACATTTCCCTATATATTTCTATTGTTCACATACAGATTCAAAACTACATTCCTTCATACTTTCTTACCTCAAAATTACTGCATTTATACTAAAATTTTGTTTTACCTCCCACCCAAGCTCTAGGTTCAGAACACTTAGAGTTTCTAAAATACCAGCAAAATTACATGGAAAAAAATAACATTTATACATGCCATACATCAATAAAATGACTGTTCTTCAAGCCTACAGTTCCAGCACCAGAAACACATATAAGATTGGCCAAGTAAGTGTAAGTATGAGGTGATTTATGTAATTTAAAATATCTCCATGAAAATATATTCCACATGTATAAGGGATTAGCCATAATATATAAAGAGCTCCTATAATCAATAATAGAAAAGGTGAAAAAATAGAAAATGGGCAAAAAATGTAATAGCAATTTATAGAAAAAAGGGCAATGCCCAATAAACATAAAAAGATGCTTAACTTCATTACTAACCAAGGAATTGCTAATTTTAAAAAACATGAGATGCCATTTTTCCTCCAGATTTAGAAAAATTAAAAATGTAAATGAAAACTAAACATGGAGAGCGTATGGGAAAATAACTATAATATGCAGCTTCAGGAGCATACATTTTTAATCTTCTTTGGGTGAGCAATTTAGCAGCACTCTCATATTTTAAAAAGTATATACCACTTCACCCCAAAATTCTTCTTCTCAGGATCTTATTCTCCAGTAATATTTGCACAAAGAAATATGTATAAGCAAGTTCATTGCAGCATTTTTGTAATCGGCATTCTCAGAAATAGCCTAATTTATCAATAGGAAACATTTTAAGTTAATTATGGTTCCACTTATCCTTTGGAATTCTACGCAGCAACTAAGAAAAATGAATGAGCAAGAAAATCTAAGATTTGTTAAGTGGAAAAAGTAATAATAATAATAAATAATGTCTAAAATTTATGAAAAATCAATAGTTATGTGTGTATTGAGGCATATATATGTGAATGCACAGAAAAGGTCTGCAAAGAGACACATCAAATTGTTAAATAGTGGCTACCTCTAGGAATAGTCTCTGTTAAAGAGATGGGAGAAAGACATTTTTACTTTTTATTTTTCAAACTTCTGTTCTATTTTATATGTAACAATAAAGAACTTGTATTTATGTATTACTTTATCAATATAATATTAATTGTACTTGCTTAATCCCTTTCTCCACCAAAGTAGATTTGTTGCTTTGCTGACAAAACCTCTGTGCACTTGGCTTTTAGGGTATTTCTCCAGAACATTGCTTCTCAAAGTGTGGCCCTGGAGGCAGCAGCATTGCATCACCTGGGAACTTGGTAGAAATGCAGATTCTCAGGTCTCACCCTGACCTACTGAATCAGAAACCCTGGGGGTGGGACCCAGCCGGCTGTGTATTAACAACTCCTCTGGGGATGCTAATACCTGCTCCAGACTGAGAAGCACTGCTCCAGATCTTACTGGAAGACCGCCAAACAGATGAGTCCCCTGGAATGCCCTGGAGGGAGTTAGCAAAACCAAACTGGATTTAGAGGTCCTTGGAAAATGGAGGTAAGGACTAGCCTGAGGAGCATAGTTAAGGGGCTTTTCTTAGGGGAGAAATCACAAGAAACTGCATGCATCAGAAGTAACCTAATTTCTTTAAACACACAAAGAGTAAAACACTGCAAGGCCTCGATTCTTGTGAAAGGGAAAAGCCTGCTCCTCTCTTCTGACCGGGTTTCAAATTGCTTCATCCAGCACAAAAATGCCTTTCCAAAGGACACAGCTAATCTTTGGAAGGAGAGAAGTCCCTAGGGGATAGAGTCAGTGAGTATTTTTATAGGGAATGAAAGGACAGTCTGCTCCCCGTAAAGTGAATGAGTGATTAGATGGTTCTGGCCTTTATGAATGGAATTAATGAACCTTCAGAGAGGCATCAATTTGTACCTTCATTGTAACCTGGTAACCTTGGAAAGCCTGGAGCCGCTTTTTCTTCTCCTCTTCTTGTCCCATGCTTATCCAAGTGTCTGTAATTAATACATTGCCTCCATGCGCTGCTTCCAATGGATCATTCGTCAGCAACAGCTTGGTACCATTCTAGCATACATAAGCACGCTGGTTAGATAACTTCATGGGACAGTAAAAGGCAATCATAGCTTTACAGGTAAAGAGCGTACCTCTTTGGCATACTGCTCTGCCAACTTGGTTACACTAGGATCCGGCTCATAACCCTACAGGAGGAAGAATTTAACTGTTATTTAGGTAATTTTATTATACATGTTTTCTTCCATATATATTATTTTCTTTTCAATATCTCCTCTCCTTCCCTTTTTCAAGATGTGGTCCCACCATGTTCAGTAAAATATGATTTTTACACCTAGAATTCCAAACTCAGTAGTGCCTTTTGGAATTTAAAAAGACAACAAATGGCCGCATCTTTCACTATCTCCAAACTCTTTAATCATAAAGGCAAACATAAGGCATGGTGCTTTCTAACTCTTGGACACACCTCTTCCGGTTTCCATAATGGCTTAAGAGGATTATATTCAGAAGTGTACAAATGAATGCATGTTTGCCTATCTTTGCACATGCTATCCTTTTTTGTCTGAAATTCTTTCTTCCACCCACTCCATGTGGGTAACTTTTTCAGGTCTCAGTTGAAATGTCCCCTCCTCAGAAAAACCTTCCCTGACCATCCCAGCTCAATACCCCCTCCCCCATTACACACGTCTCATTCTTTGGCATTCCCCAGCAAGCGTTTTGAGTGCAGGGTGCTTGTTTTGAAAGGCATTAACAGAACAAATACATTGTTTTTGCTAAGATTATACATTTGTTCGGGATTGTTTGGTGAGGGCAGAGTCAGACACCGGAGAGGCAAGCGAAGTGCCTAGGGCAAAACATTTAAGGAGGCGCTATAAAAAAAATATAAAGAAACACGCATTCTCAGGGCCATGCATGCACAAATTTTGCACCCTAGGTGACTCGCTTGCTCAGCCTAGCTCCTACTCTGGGTGAGGGGACGTCATGGGAACAGCTAAAGCTCCCCAAGCTATCCCAGGTTCCCACAGGCAGCCTCCCTGTCTCGACCCTCACTCTCCAACCTATTCTGTACACGGCAGCAATAACTGTTTTCTCTGAAGCCTCTGATGTTTACTACTTGTTTCTTCAGTCAAAACTGATTAAGAGCATCAAGGCTCCCCACCTCCACCCCCTGCTTCTGTCTCTTTTAATTCTTCTCAACATCTTGCTGCAGGAAAGCCAATCTTATTGTCATCCCTGTACACATCTTGCCCTTTTCTGCCATCACAGCCTTTCACCCTTGAACACCTCCTCTCTCGTCCCCTCCTGGGTGTCTTCATCACAATGTGTCAGCTCCTCAAAACTCTAGCCCAGCCTCACCTCCAAGAGCCTCCATATGGAAGTCTCGTCAGTTCAAACACTGTCATTATCCTCACCTTCCTCTATCCTTCTCATTTTCCCAAGTTCTTAGCATTGATTACGAGTTGACTTTTATCACTTTTCACTGAGGCATTGTGGTGAATGCTGTGGTCTGCTCCCCAGATCCCCCTCCATGAATAATCATGAATAAAGGACTTATTCCCCCAGCTGCTGGGAGTGCTGCCAGAAGATGGCTTTCAGCTGTCAGCCCCCTTTGGGCACTGCCTCAGCTGCAGAGAGCAGCCTCACCCAAGGTCACACACCCTTTCGGGGCAACCCACATTCAATGGCTGATTGACAGGAGGGTAAGAAAACCTGACCCCCTATGCCCAACTTCAGACAGCTAAACGGACATCTCAGATCCAGAACTTTCCATAAGATCAGCCAAGGCTGTTGTTGGGCCTGCATCGCAACTCAGCTTCTCCCGCTTCTTACTCCTGCTTCCTTCTCTTCCTTTCCACAGTTGTTGATTTCAAGGGCAAATGCCAATAAGCATCCTGCCTGTCCTGCACGCTAAACTCTGAGTCTGCTTCCCAAGAAACCCAACCAGTGACAGGCATGTCTAGGTTTATTTGTGAAATTGTGTTTATTTGCACATGATTGTCTACCATAGTTTCTTCTTCTGTTAAAGCATTCTTGAAAGAAGAAACTACTCAGAGGTTGATGAAGATGCCTGCTGACATTTTAGCAGCTTTTCTACCCTCATGTAGCGATTAATTCTGGGGCCTTGTTTATAGAGATTTGGGGAAAGTAATTAATAAAGGCTAGCTAATTTAGCAACTAATGTTGTGAACAGCCATACTGGTAAACATAAATGAAGAGACTTGGATATTACCCCAAGTGCCTCCTACCCTGAAAATTTAGCCTTCCCTTTGGAGAGTAGGTTTTATACTCCCTAAGTATAATAATTCTTAGAAAAGGAATCAATAAGTACTTAGAGAACCAACAGAGAGGTTTGGAAATTAGAAAATCACCCAACCTTGCATGCACTGTGGCATGACTTAGAATACAGAGAGGAATTCTTCACTCACATCTCAGCTTTCAATACTAAATCACTCACTAGCCTTTACATAAATTTTAAAACCAGACAAAGAAGGTGATTAACACACCCAGTTCAGTCTAAGTATTCACTTAGAACAATGTTAAAATCATTACTATTGATAGTTTATGGAGCAATTTTACAATCATGGACAAAATTATTTTTTCTTGAACATGTAAGTTATTCTTGGTTAAAGAACGGGAAAATAGATTAATCATGGCCTTGGAAATGTTTCAGTGTTTCTAAAATTTACAATAAATCTCCTAGCTTTATCTTTAAAGGAAATAGGTCTGCTAACAACTGAAGACTTACAAATTGATGGAACGACTTTTGCACTATCAGACTTTCCAGGAGACTTTGCAAAACTCTTACTCCCACCAAGGTTTAACCAGGTTTTAGTACCCTTTATCATTTAAATGAGTTTCTGTATAAGAACAATACTGCAATTACTCTGTAATATTAGAATTTTTTCCTTTGATGTTAATAAAACATCTTTGTCATACGATAAAATGTTTAAACCATATATTTCTTCAACAGAATGAAGCCTTCCAAAAGATCTTTATACCAGCGAACAATTATTGTTAATGTATGTTTCATCTGTGGGAACCAAATGCAATAAGAGTTTGCATTAATACAGAGCCTTTCTTCAAACTAGCTTTGTATGGAGAGTGTACTCACCCTTCCCATAAAGTGAATAAAAGCCACCTTAAGCACATATCGGATCTGACCCTTATTTCAGTTCACGCTGAATAAAAGAGGAGAATTATCTGTTGTAAGGATCATCTCTCTGAGTCCCGCAAATTTACTATAATAGGATGACTTCCACTGCATGCAGTGGAAATTTTTTCTATGGCAAGTGTACTTGGTTGAATAGTGTTCTTCAAAATTCACGCCCACCCAGAACCTCAGAATGTGACCTTATGTGGAAATAGTCTTTCCAGATGTAATTAGTGAAGATGAGGTCATACTTGATAAAAAGTGGGCCTAAATTTAATATGGCTGGTGTCCCTATAAGAAGAGGGGGGATTTGTACAGAGAGACACAGACGCAGAGGTAAAGTGATGGAAGCAGAGATTAGAGAGATGCACCCATAAGCCAAGGAACGCCTGGGGCTACTAGAAGCAGGAAGAGGCAAAAAATGATCCTCCCTGAGAGGCTTCCCAGGGAGTGTGGCCTGTCAACACCTTAATCAAACTTCTAGTCTCCAAAACTGTGAAAGAGTAAATTTTTATTGTTTTAAGCCGTGCAGTTTGTAGTAATTTGTTACGGCAGCCCTAAAAATCCAAGACAGCAAGATAAAAACACCTGGTGAAAGCATTTGTTGGTGTCTAGTTCTGTTTTGGCCGGATGCAGCAGATGATGCTGGTGCTCTAACTCAGAGGCACCCAGGAGATCCCTTTTCATGGCTTCTGCTCCCTCCCCCAGTTTCAGTGTTTTTAACACCTAGTGCTTGTAGTTCGTCTTCAGGGGACAGCTCTCTGGCTACCAGGCTGCTTTTCCCATCAAAAGTGCCAGGGGATTTACCACTCCACCTCTTCTGCTGCCCTTGACCAATGCTGGGATAACTTTAGGGCATAACTTACACTCCAGAGCTCACCTGTGAGATCAGACTGAAGCTGCTTTCTGTGGGACTGTGCATGACATGGGACTAGGCTGACCAAATCACCTTGGTTTGCCCGGACTCTCAATTTTAGCACCCCAAACCCCATGTCCCCAGAAATCTCTTGATCTTGGGCAAATCGGGATGGTTGGTCACTGTAAATGGCATCCTTGCTTAGATTCTTCCCTTTCCCTGTCCTGCTCCCTCTAATCCCTTAGGGATCTCCCTTGGGAGTACTTCCTTAATGAATCATCTGTACACAAATCCCCACAGTGGTGTGCTTGTGGGGAACCTGGCCTAAGGCTGATATTTAGTAACGGTGCTGGAACATTTATTTCACCATGTGAAAGAATATAGATAAATAAAAATATCTACCATCTACGTTTGTGTAAGTACACTGTATGATGCTCCCACAACGACAAAGTCACCGAAGGACCCATTTCTCAGAACGTATCCCTGTTATGAAGCTATACATGACTGTATGGTGAAAATAAAGTCTCCCTCCTACCTCTATCCTCAAGCCTCCCAGTTCCCCTCCTCAGAGGCAACAATTATTACCAGTTTCTTGTGTATCAAAAGGGTTACATTGGGCCTATGAAAGAAGTCATGTATTCCACACATGCTGTGAGAGATAGCAGCAAGGTAGGAGGTATGCAAGGGTCATTTTCATAGCCATGTGGGGCTCAAATTTTATAAGCCAAAAGGCCCCCAGAGTTGAGTTTTGAAATACTAAGCTGATGTAGATGCCATCACTGTGATCCTCACATTGAATTTACATTTTTCTACCAAATTACAGTATTAGAAAAATGACAGTATCATTCCCATGGGTTGAGAATTCTATGCTGCCTGAATTTTATTGCTTTCTTCAGCCTTCGTGGTGGTAATGCACGATGTCAGTCATCATAATGGCCTACAGCAGGGTATTCAAAGGGATAATTCAGACATGCTTTCAACACTGACTCATAGAATAAAAGGCATCAGCCAAGACTATCTCTTATTGTAGAGATCGGAAATTGGACTCTCAAGAGGCCAGATAGCTATTTAATAGTAGGGCTAGTAACGTAACCTAGATTTTGTGGCCTCACCTGTGCTATACTTAAATAGAAGAAAGCTTTTTTGTCACTGGGTAATTGCATCTGAGGATGATTTAAGAGAGGGGTTAGTTTCAAGGCAAAAAGTTTCCCTACCTTTGGAGTAGCTGCCTGAAGGTGCATCCCGAATTTCGCTGCGCTCATCATGATGGAGTGCAGGATATTGTTCCCATCCCCGATCCAGCTGAGGGTAAGACCTTTCAGAGAGCTATAGTGTTCCTAAAAGGCAAGGGATGAAGGAGATGAAATCCAGGAGTAAATTCGCTTGTGCGTAGCAATTATTAAGGTTAAAATAGTCTTAATCTCAATATTAGTGCCTTATTAGAAGGAATGAATTCCCAATTTTTTTGCATTACACAGAGCAATTCAATAAGATGAATGTACAATCACAAAAACATGGTAAAATGTCTTAATATCTTAAACCAAGGCATCATATGAACTTGTACAGAGACTAAGAGTTTCATACATTTCAAATCTGAATCTTAGTTATATTCATTCATTGGATACAAATGAGCACCTTTAATGTCCAGATACTGAGACACTGTCCTTGGCCCTGGAGATATAACAATAAACAAAAGAGACACAAATCACTGCTTTTATGGAGCTGAAATTCTTTGGTATGAGAAAGGGGAAATACAGAATACCTGGAACAGTGTAGCATGGTGGCTCAGAGCATGTTCCTATTATATGAAGTTGACAAAGATGCTCAATAATACTGTTAGTTGGCCAGGTGCGGCGGCTCATGCCTGTAATCCCAGCACTTTGGGAGACCGAGGTGGGTGGATCACCAGAGGTCAGAAGTTCAAGACCAGCCTGGTCAATGTGGTGAAACCCCATGTCTACTAAAAATACAAAAATTAGCCAGACGTGGCACACACTTGTAATCCCAGCTACTACGGAGGCTGAGGCACGAGAATCACTTGAACCTGGGAGGCGGAGGTTGCAGTGAGCCAAGATCATCCCGCTGTACTCCAGTCTGGGTGACAGAGTGAGACTCTGTCTCAAATAATAATAATACTGTTGGTTGTTTATGGCTATAGATATGTGTAAAGATACTAATATCGGGATAATAATATATTTGTGGAAGGGAAGAAAATGAGATCAGGCAGAGTCACGTGGTGGGCTTCAACTCTATCTGTAATGTTTTATTGAAAAACAGCAAAGAATTATAAAGTAACTACTCCATCACGTTAAAAATTGACAAAACTGTGTGAACACGTGAACGTTTGTTTTATTTTCTTGAAGTGTCTGTAGGTTTCATATATTTTATATATTTAAAAAGATTAAAAAAGAGAAAGGCTAAGCAATTTGGAGATCACAGAACTATTAGTTAGCTAAGCTAGAATTTAATTCCAGATCCATCTGATTTCTATTCCATGCTCTTAACAAGCTGCTATTTATTCATTCAGCTCCTACGTTAAGTATCTCCTATATGAAGGCATTGCACGAGGTCCTGCAGGGGACATTATGATGAACAGGACAGCTCATTTTCCCTCAATGAATTTATAATCTAGTAATGAATGATAAAGCCCCAGGGGGAAGCATTAAATTATCTGGTGTATATGTAAAGCCACAGGCCCAGACAGTCACTTTGGTATCTGACATAATTATATCATCTTCTCTGCATGGATCTCATCCTCATGTCCAAAGTGTTTTATTTTGAGCTTAACCTCACATTTAAATGTGTGTAGTTTATTCAAATGTGGAAGAAGATGGAACTATCCAGTTTATCTTGTCTCCTCAGTCATCCATAGACATAGAAACCATGGCTGTTAGGATTTCCAGAGGCAATACCATGTAGATTGGCTGTGGCAAACCAAACAAGGGAAATCTTTCAAAGTTATTCAAGTTCCTAATTTGGGAGGACTAGAATGGCTAAATTTGAGCTCCAATTCTATAAATTCTGCATATTCTTAAACCTACTTTTAAACAACCAGTTTATTAAAATGATAGAGAGTGGCCCCCTCTCCCAGAGTGACTTAGTAACTGGCCGTTTTGAATATTCAAAGCACACTCCACCAGTCTTCACTCCCAAGCCACAGACTCTGATGTCTATAGAATCACATATGGCTTGTCCATGTTGTATGCTCCAGTGTTCTCCATTCATTCATTGTGTTAAATATGGCACCGAAATCAAAGGGATTGACAGAACAGAAGATGAGATACGGGCTAAAAGAGTTTGGGAATAGGGTTGAGTGCAGAAGGATCTTAGAGTCTGTTTTTAACAATGCCCTGTTTTCCCCAGAAAATGTACACATAAGCTATAATTCTTTGTCAAGCTGGTATTTGAAAATAAAACCCCAATGCCATGATTTAAGTAAACGGTTTCACTTAGAGCAAGTCAGGAATTATTTGTTGATTTTTCTCTTTTGTAAGACAAATAAATAAACCAACCTGGAGCGTGAGGTAATCAGCCAGGATCTGGATAGGATGGTACAAATCTGACAGCCCATTGATAATTGGGATGGATGCTTCTTTAGCCAGGGTGTCCAAATCTGATTGTTTATACACTCGAGCCAATACTGCATCTGTCATGCTAGACAATACACTGTGGCAAACCAAGAAAAAGATAACCTAAGTTAATGATGCTTAATAATGCCTTATTTAATATAAGATAAGAAATAATAACAAGAAATACTAACAAATAGAATTTTTACTACGTGAAAAAAACTACCAACATTACAGGTTTAAAAGGTAATACTAAACATGTATTCATTACATAAGCCAGATGTTCTACCTTCCACAACTTATCCAGTGACCAGCGATTTTACATTTTTTATGGAGATAATTGTGGGCCCAGCAGACATAATGATGAATTATAATTGATAAATGGCCATTGGTTAAAAGGGACAAGACCAAAAGCAAGATATACAGAGAAACATTAATGACCTGCCATATGGCTAATTTTCTTTTACATCATCCAACAGAAAAAAGATACATTTTCACTGTGGAATTGCAAGTCCCAGTGTGGCAGCCATGGAAATGCACACACAGATCGCCCTACAGAAGAGAACTTGCTTGAAGAGAGCCATTGGCTGACACTCTAGCTGCTACACCTTTGGATGCCCTGCAGCATTCCTGCTAAGGCCACCCTCCCTAGGCTGTTCCAAACTGATGACAGAACACGGTGGGGAGAATAGTGCTGGGCCATTCCTTCCTGACAGGGGACCCCTCTGATGGGCAGTCTGTGCTCTGGGGCTCCCCATCAGCCTGGCTGAGACTTTCTCAGAGCTGCACTACTGGATGAGGCTCTCCCTACCCACCCATCCTTCCTTCCCACAGGGGTCAGACCTGCCTCCCTGTCTGAAGGCCCTCTTGGCCCATTCCTGCTTCCTCTCTCATTTTGTTTCTTGGTGTTTCCCTCAATAAATCTCTTGCAAGTCTAATTGCTTCTTGGAGTCTGCTTCTTAGTGGACCTGAACTGACACAGAAAGCAATAAACTCTGGTGCCTACAAAATTCAAGGACTGCTTGGCCCCAGGGATTACAGGATCAAAGATTAAAAACTATATTTCTATAACAATATTTTTCTAGACTTACAGATCAGATTTTTTCTAATTTTTAATGGATTTATCATGCCCATGGCTCCCAGATTTTCAAATTTCATGAACCAGCAAAATTTCCAAAAATATGTGGAGATCAACATAAGATTTGCAACTCTTTATTTACCAAATTAAGAGCATGAGAAAAGCAAATAAACAGGTATACTATGTTCCTACCTTAATTTAATTTACAAAGGATATTTTTAACATCAAAAAGGTGTGAAAGACAATTTCAAAGAATAATCTTGAAATGAATTATTTGAGTTTTATGAAATTCACTATATAATTCTTATCCTTATTTTTCTTATTTCACCACTTCTGATGGAAGTTTCTCCACACCAGGGTCAGTGAGGATAGAGATTTGTAAACCACTGCTTTGAACTATCTAAACACACTGTATTTTATAGCATGAGGAGTGAATAAAAGATCCATTTTACAAAAAATAAAAACCAAAAAACAAAACAAAAAACATGTGATATTGGTTAACTTTTGATGGTGGACTAAGACAAGGGGTTTTCAAATTTTGCTGCACATGAAAGTCACTCGGAGAGTGTTGGTTTGTTTTTGAGATGGAGTCTCACTCTGTCTCCCAGGCTGGAGTGCAGTGGCGTGATCTCAACTCACTGCAATCCCCTCCTCCCAGGTTCAATCGATTCTCCTACCTTAGCCTCCCAAGTAGCTAGGATTACAGGCTCTCCACCACACCCAGCTAATTTTTGTATTTTTAGTAGAGATGGTGTTTCGTCATGTTGGCCAAGCTGGTCTCAAACTCCTGACCTCAGGTGATCCGCCCGCCTCGGCCTTGCAAAGTGCTGGGATTACAGGCGTGAGCCACTGCACCTGGCCACTTGGAGAGTTTTTTAAACTCTTGATGCCCAGGCCCTATTCTCTATCAATTAAGTCAGAAAAATCAAAATCTCTAGGAGTGGGACCTAGGGATCATTATTTTTTTAAATATTCCTACTATATTCTAACATGCTGCCAAAGCTGAGAACCAAAGCTAGCACCTTGCTCCTCAGAGTAGCAACATCAGCATCATCTGAGAGCATATTAGATCTTCAGAATTTCAGGTCCCACCCAGATTTACTGGAGCAGAATCTGCATTTTAACAAGGTTTCCAGGGGATTCATTTGCATATTAAAGTTTGAGACTCCAAAGAAAGAGGGAATTGAGACCGCCATATTTTTGAAAGCATCATCTATTATTTTCTTAAAATCCTAACCAGGCAATACATCAAGAGTAGACAAAGCTTCTGAGATGGCAGCCCACAAAAACAGAAGACTCTATCTATAATATCCTTAGCAGGGAGGGAATTGAGGGAAAAAGGCAGCTAAACTCCTCTGAGCAAAGAATAATTCACCATCTTCTGTTAAGGCCCTTCTCATTAGAGAAGCAACTACCCTTCCTTATTCGATGCCCTAAGACAATGGTTCCCAGACTTGGGTGTGTATGGGAACTAAGTGAAGAACTAATACTAATAGATTACACAGAAATAGAGTAGGTCCTAGGCCTTTGTCCTCTTACTAAAACAGACATTCTGTTTTTCATACGATAAGAATGCAGGCTTCCATCATGGAAAAGTAACTTAAGTGGAGGTAGATATGTCAATAAGGTCTATAATTATAATCAACTATCAATTCCCTATATCAGATGAATTCATTAATTTTATGATGCCTAAAACCCCAAGAAAGAGAGAGAGAGAAGCAGAGCGTGGGGGCAGAGGAGTGTTTAATCCTAGAGGTCATACTTCAGACTTCTTTAAACATGTAGCACTCCCTAAAGTGTGTACAGACAGGATTAAAAAAAGGATAAGAAAAATGTGGATTAACATTGCAGTTGACCTTCTGGAATCTCATAGCCAGAGAAGCACATTTGACTTCTGTTATAGCTTCTCAAATCCTTTTAGGCAGCTAGGACCCTTGACTGCCAACTTGTTATGGTTTTTTCGAACTTTACAATACGTTGTTGAATTTTACTAGATTTAGTGTGTGTCACATGCAGACATTATCTTAACCTCAGAGATGAAGAAATCAAGGCCTTTTAAAATCTTGAAGTAATTAGAGCAAGGTTAGGAAAGAGTGAGGAAGATGAGGCTGAAAGACAGAAATGCTAGTGGAGCAATTGGAGAAGTCAACGACCTGTACACATGAGTCTTTCAAGAAGATTGAAAAAAAGGCAGATGTGTTTTCCTCTTTAACAAGTCCCCATCCCCAAAGCTCCTGAAGCAAAGCAGTCAAAAGATAAGCATTCATTTAATTTCTCTGTTTATAATGTCAAGCTGATATCCCTGGAACCTCTGTGGTGTAATTTCATGGGACTGTGCCTGGTTGGTTTTATTCAGGTTGCAACACTTTTCTAGAACAGAGGTTCTTTACTTTGGCTGCACCTTAGTATCACCTATGGAGCTTTTACAAAATCCTGACACCATATTCTGCTTTTTGGAAGGTTAAATCAGAAGCTATGATAGTGGGACCCATATCAACATTTTTAAAGCTCCCCAAGCTGCTCCAATATGAAAACTAGGCTGAGAACCATTGTCCCAGAAAACAGAGAGTCAGAGAGGAGGTAGGAGGAAAGTGGGCTACCGTGCTGCTGGGTGACACAGTGCATCAATGTAGAGGAAGAAACTCTTAGTAATTGCTGAAATCTCATACAATAAGAAAAATAAGGGATAACGATATGATAAGCTATACTGGAAAGAACAATATTTTACACACTTATAAAAGAAGTATTTTCTTTTTTTTTTTTTTTTTGAGACGGAGTCTCGCTCTGTCGCCCAAACTGGAGTGCAGTGGCCGGATCTCAGCTCACTGCAAGCTCCGCCTCCCGGGTTTACGCCATTCTCCTGCCTCAGCCTCCAGAGTAGCTGGGACTACAGGCGCCCGCCACCTCGCCCGGTTAGTTTTTTGTATTTTTTAGTAGAGATGGGGTTTCACTGGGTTAGCCAGGATGGTCTCGATCTCCTGACCTCGTGATCCGCCCGTCTTGGCCTCCCAAAGTGCTGGGATTACAGGCTTGAGCCACCGCGCCCGGCCAAGAAGTATTTTCTTTAAGCGCAGTCACTACCAAGAGAAGTCCCAAAGCAGCAGTAATAGCTGTACTCTTTCCCCACTTGACACTTGTAAACATCCCTAGTGACCAGATTTTTGTCTCTAATATTGTTCTATTTAAAAAAAGAACCAGAAACCACTAGAGGATAGTCAATTTCATGTTATTGGGCAGAATAAAATCAGAATAGGTCTGTAACATTTTGTTGTTGCCAGGAAACAAGAGTGATTTGTTTTCTAAATGTCAGGGACACTGCTGAAAGGAAAAACAGTCAACTTAAAGGAGCTCCCATTTTTCAAGTTGTGATCATTTGTAGTAACAAAGATCATGAAATGAAATAAATTATGCTTCTAAAGGGACGTGATGCACATAAGAAAAAAGTTAATGTAAATAAAATGTACAAAATTATGATAGTAATATCAAAGAAGAGTGAATATCATGTACATTTAAATTTATTTACTTAAGTAGGAAAGTGTTTATACATAGCTATAACTATAGATAGATATTTGTGGGGTTTTGTTAAGTATATTTCTGTTCATATAGTATAGATATGTATTGTTTTTATCTGCATAAGCCACAAATAACTAACATAATTTGTAAGCCAAATTATTGCAAGAAATAGTAGAAACCGTACCATGAAAAAATAGGCCTCAGCGGCATTTGTGGTGTTATATATATAAGTGAACTGGAAAAGGAGTCCAGAGGTTAGCTAGCACCAGTCACATATGCAATTTCCAATGAGGAAAACAATAATAACCTTTTGCTCCAAAATACCAACTTAGTTAAATGTCCATAAAAATAAGTCAATTTTTTTTTTTTTCCCAGACGGAGTCTCGCTCTGTCACCCAGGCTGGAGTGCAGTGGCGCTCTCTCAGCTCACTGCAACCTCTGCCTCCCAGGTTCAAGCAATTCTCCGGCCTCAATCTACCGAGTAGCTTGGATTACAGGCATGCGACACCACGCCTGGCTACTTTTTGTATTATTAGTAGAGACGGGATTTCACCATGTTGGCCTGGCTGGTCTCAAACTCCTAACCTCAGGTGATCGCCCACCTCAGCCTCTCAAAGTGTTGGGATTACAGGCGTGAGTCACCGCACTTGGCTAAGAAGTCTAAATTTTAAGATTCACTTTTCTGTTTCTCTGGAAGTGAAATCTTTTGATGATTTTTTAACTAATTAATTACAACACAATGCCAATAAGAAAGGTCAATGTTTTTAAATATTGAAACCAGGCCAGGTTAATATATTATTAAATATTGCAATGGGTCATGTGATGCCAGAGATTAAAAACAGACAAATAAAACTTAAATCTTCTAAATTTCTTTAAAAATCAGAATCCATGGCGGGGCGCAGTGGCTCACACCTGTAATCCCAGCACTTTGGGAGGCCGAGGCAGGCGGATCAACTGAGGCCAGGAGTTCGAGACCAGCCTGGCTAACATAGTGAAACCCCATTTCTGCTAAAAATACACACACACACACACACACACACACACACACAAATTAGCCAGGCATGGTGGCACATGCCTATAATCCCAGCTACTCAGAAGGTTGAGGCAGGAGAATCACTTGAACCTGGGAGGCAGAGGTTGCGTTGCACTCCAGGGGACAATGACAGAGTGTAATTTTGATCGTGGCCATTTCAAAAGCATTTGAACTGGAATTAGTTGGCCAGGTTGGGCCACCATATCTTGCATGTCTATGTCAGGGGGACTTGGCTTTCAAGGGGACAGCACTCAGCCCCAGGAGGAGCCTGCAATTCGTCCTTGTCTCACAGTTTGTGCCATCCATGGGGATAA